TGTTTTACTTTGGACAAGGGTCTGTAGGGACAGAACAAGGGAGAATGGCTTTAGCCTGACAGAGGGGAAACTGAGATGAGCTCTTAGGCAGAAGTTTTTCCTTGTGAGGGTGGTGAGGCACTGGCACAGGTTGCCCAGAGAAGCTGTGGCTGCCCCATCCCTGGCAGTGTTCAAGGTCAGGTTGGACACAGGGGCTTGGAGCAACCTGCTCTAGTGGAAGGTGTCCCTGCCCATGTCAGGGGGTTGGAAGTGGATGAACTTTAAGGTCCCTTTCAACCCAACCAGTCTGTGATTATATGATTTTAAGGTAAGCAATTTAACCTTCAGAGCTCCTTTGCAAGTGAGAAGTCTTTAAAATTAGCTGTTGTAGGAAGTGCTGAGAGTCCAAGAGAGGTCCACTCTGTGTGTTGAGCTGTGTCTAGGCACTGCCTGCAGGGTGCTGGTTGACAAAAGCTGGGACTGTGCCAGGGCATGTATGCTCAATTGAGTTGGGGGTGAATGTGTGCCAGTACCTGATTTGTTTCATTTTTCAGCATGGATTAGTCTTTAGGGATCTAAGCCCAAGTCTTCTGGCCCATAACTATGAAACATTAAGGATTCCAACTCCTGTTTAAGCACTTTCCATTTCAGTGCATGGGAAACTAATTACCTTAGCCTATCTGTACGTTTGAGAATAAGCAGTGGGGGTCTTAAGTCATTGTGTTTGCTTTGAGAGTTATCCCCCCATCTCATTCAAAATCTTGAGTAAGCTGAACTGTTGGTAACAAAAAAGGCCGTACCTGAAGGCAGATTTCTGTGGCAAGGCAAAGAGAAACCATTGGAAAGGTGCTCATTTATGCCTAGCAATTCAATTGGCATAGTGGTCATTGCAATGCTTAGATTCTGAGGGAAATAAACGAGTATTTCTTTTGACTGCACAGCCCTACTTCCTCATGGCTAGAGCCTTTTTAGTGGGTGAATTATTCCTAGTGATGGGTAAATTCTGTGTCAATTCTACCCTTTACGCTAAATGGCAAGATTAAAAAGATTAGATTATTATCAACACGAGCATTCTTTATACTGCTTGTATTTCATGTACAACATGGTAAAACCAAACAAAACCCACAACAATCCTGGAGGATCAGATAAAGGAGCCTCTATTGTTGAATGTCCAGATTTTCCAGATGAGTATTGTCTGATGCCCAGATTTGAGCATTTGAAGAGGTAGTGTGCTGCACTTATACCTCTTGCTTTTCATCCTGCTTTTGCAGCCAGCTCTCAGGTCTGGTCCTCAGGTAATCTGGGCTGAATGTTTCCTTCTCCCAGTTAGGATCACAAGGATGCAGCAGCTTTGATGCATGGACGAATATTGACCTCTTGTGCACTTGCCCAGATACTGCTTTGCAGGGGGAAGGGGAAAAGAGGGCAGTAGCCCATATTTTGCTACTGCTGTGGGTGTTGCCAGGATGCTCTGGGATCCATGAAGAAGCAGCACTGCTTTGGGAAGGGAGAGGACTGGGCTCTGCTGACAAAAATTTACTGATCCCGTCTCAGCATCCTGTGATTTCTTGTCCTTTCCACCCCTTGCCCCCAGTAGCAAACCCTGTGCAGGACTATGAGGTGTGTGGTTGAAGGCAGGGCTACAGGGGAGCTGAACCACAGCAGAAAGTACTGTGAAGCAGGAGACACACTGATGTCAAATGGTGGAGACTGGGGCAATTGCTTGACAGGGAACTGGGAGTCTTGGAGAGAGTTACGCACATCATCCACAAGCCATGAGAGTAGCTTAGGGAATGGCAGTGAGGCTGTTCACTTGCATTAGACTTTTGCATACAATCTGATTCCAAGTGACATTTTCAAGTGATTTTCTTAAAATTATTTTTTATTTATTTAGTTTTTAGAGATGTTAGATACAGTGTCATCTCTTTTGCTGTGTTATGTTGGCACAGGGTGTGGGGGAGGGAGGGAGTAAATAGTCCAGGAAAAAGCCCCAAAACTCCTGCACAGCATAAATATTTCTTAAGAGACTAGTATTACCTGTGTGTCAGAACTGGGAATGCAAAAGGAGTGCTTGAACAAAACCATTGTGACTCAAATAGCATTTATTGGATGTAAAGAAAGAGAGCGATTTCAGTAATGAGATAAATCAGTTCTGTTAGCAAAGACTGTTGTATGAACAATAATGGGGAAAAAGCATATTCTGACTGATGTACATGTCAAATTACCAAATAACTGTTATTTTGCACGGGGTGAAGGGAAGAATGAATTCTCTGGATAGTGTAAAGTAAGGAATTAATTCTGAAAGAGTGAAAAATCTAATGGCTGAGGCACAGCCTTCATCTTTTTTTTTTGTTATTCTGTTCTGTGCATAAGGTTTCTTTATGGTACTGCCAAAATGTCTCTGTTGCTCAGCAACAGCAAGCTGAAATAGCACCAGTTGGAGAAAATCTGCTGATTTACACTGGTCATAAAGTGTGTACTCTTATCCGAGCGCAGATTTTCACACAAGAATGAAAGCTAGCTGTTGTAGGTTTGCCCCTTTGGGACACATATGGTCCTAATGTCAGTTCAGACACCAAAATACATCCCCATTCTGTCACAGTTTGGAGAGGTACATCCTCTGGGCAGAACATGACCTCATTTAATCCTAATCTGGGGGCCTGTCCAGCATCTCCCCTAGGAACAAGTCCTCATCTGATCCCAAAGAAGTTTCCAGCTCTGCCTGTGGCTCTGCAGGCATGTTACTGTGCCTTGGGCTGATCGTGCCTCCTGTACAGCAGCAAATTTTGCACTTGAACATTTAAGAGTATATGGGTGTAGCAAAATACCCTAAGTAAAAAGACCGGAATTTGGCAGCTTCCTAAATATCCCCTTTACACTGGTTTCATAACTTTATTTCCCAACTTCTTCTAAGCTGCTTATTTAAGAGATAAATTGTCTTTGGAAGAGTAGAGTGATGATAAGTAGAAGAAAACTTTTACCGAACTCTGAAAAGTATGAATATTTGTTTGAAAAATTAACTCCACAATATATTATGTAGCCATTTGCCAAGTAAGACACAGGGAATGGTACATTTTTACAAGTGAACTCTGGAGTGTCAGTCATACACAAATACTGTCAAACATCTGAAAACCTACTACTTCACCAGAAAATACTGCCAGCAGTTCATCCCAAATACTTTTCACTCAGATCTTCTTGCTGTTCTTAGAAGGACATGGTTTTTTTTTCAGACAGCCTCAAAAATCAGCAGTAGCACTGTTCACAGGCTACCTTTTATTTCCTCTGCTACAAAAGGAACAGGTTTTGATTGCTTTCCCAGAAGACATATTACTGCATTTAGGATAATGTCAACCAAGGGACTTGCACATATTGAGTATTCATGGTGAAGATGTCGGGTTCATTACGGGATGAAGTATGTCGATAAGCCAGGCAGAAAGGTGGATGAGTTAACACCCATTAAGGTGACAAGCACTGTTGGGTGCAAGGTCAGCTCCCTCCTTTCCTAACTGCAGACCCTGGGAGCCTGTGCAGATGTGGCACAAGGCTGGTCAGCTGCAGACCTCTGCTAAGTCCAGTGGTACCCCAACCGTCCCCTTCCTATTGTAGGAGAGAAATGGCAGGGCAGCAACTTCAGCAGCAGGCTGGCATGGGGAAGCATTTTGCTGCTTGATATTTGAGGGCAGAAGGGGATGATATGGGCGGAGATACGGAAAAGATCAGTTCAAATTAGTTCTACTTGTGTACAGGCTGAACACAGCCATTCTATTGCATAGGAAATGGACAGCAATGCTTTTGCTGCCGTCCCTTGCCTTGCTAACCCATGACCGAGTTCAAGTAATAAGAAAAATCATAAGAGTAACATAAACTCATGAAACATTTTTTTTTTTTTGGTAGAAAAATATTCTTTTCATAGGCATTTGCTACTTTTCTCTGCAGAGATATTAGAGCCTAGTACAAACTAAAACATGCAAAAACTGGGACTGATAGACACTCCCTCCATGCCATTATTGTGATTTCCTTACCACTAGTCTTGCGAGTATTAGCAATGCTGCCTGCAATTTATCTGTGTCCATGCGTGTATGATGATTACTGATACATGATCTCTCTCCACTTGGGCTTGAGAGATCCTCCAGGTAGAATTTTTCACTAACTATTTTCTACTTAGCAAAGGGTACTCTTTATTCCACTTATCTGCTGCTATGAAGCTTTCTAAGAAATATCCTATTGCTGTCATAAACTGATTTTAGTCATTAATTAAATGCTGAGAGATGCTTTGCTCTTTATTGCTTTATGTCTGATTGCTGTGACTCAGATTCCACAAAGAGTGTTTTCTTTCCAATTTCTAAGTCAATTCACCACTGCTCAAAATTCAAGTATGTGCTTTTAAATTACAGATTGGTCTTGGGAAAGGTCCTTCCAGCAGAGCATAGTCCCTTACATACTAAGGATAGAACAAACAAATGAGGTGGAAGAAGTCTCTACTCAGGAGGGGGTGATTCTTTTTAGTCTTTTGGTTTTTT